TGTGGACATCAGAAGGTAGAAGGCTCCCTATTACTGCTGAGCAGAGGCAAGAGTTACAGCTCCCAGCTAGACTTCCACAGATATCTCTCCAGCTGAGAGGAGAAAGGATGCCTCAATACTGTGCCCCGCATGGCCTTCAGTGGCACTGGTCTAGTGGAGGTCACCTCCTTATCAACAGTTCCCTCCAAAACCCTTCTGCAAATTTTTGTTGAGGATCAGGATTTAATTACTGTATTGTCTTGTTCAGTGATCAAACTTTGTAGCACTTCCTCCATTTTGTCCTTCTTCTTCAGAATGTTTAGAGGAAAGACCTAGTACATGGGAAATGGAAGGAGGAGAAGGGAGAGGATCACAGAGATTGTAATAATGCTAGAGTCAGAAAAGCAAGACAACTGTATTAAAATCAGTGTCCTAACTGCTCAAAGGGTGGCAAGAACTAGATCTTATGACAAAATATAACTAAAGAGTATTGTAGAAACAAGCACACAGAAGCTTATAATCAAAGCCAAACCCTTTTATCCTTCAGATAAGGAAACTGTCCACAGAGAGTCTACACGGTCATAAAGCCAGCCAGCACTGTCCACACTACTACATCAGACTCCCTCTGCCCAGCCTAGTTTTACTTTCCAAACAATGGAAACCAATCAACTGTGTCATTACAGAACAATGGAAACTGTGACCCACCGTGTCATCTCTACTGGTAGTTCTTAAAAATGTTTCACTATAATTTGGAATTGTATTACTTTACCTAATCCATGAAGATTACTTTCACATCTTGCTCTTAATTTTTGTTGACAAATTCAAGGAAGACTTTTTAAAAACTGTTTGTTAGCTTAGTAAAAATAAAACCAACTAAGGCGGCAGGTAGAGAGGTGAGGAAAACATTTTATTGCATTTCTCTTAGTAGTTTTAATTATCTGGCAATTTGTCAGAATAACTTGGTATTAAAGAATGCATCTATTAATTTAGTTGACTCATAATTCAACGTAATAACTACCTACTCTTTCAGGTGGGGCAGTGTTTGCCAAACTGTCATTTTGCAATACTGTCTCTACAAGTTTGGCCTCATATCTGAGTATCACTTGTATTAATAGGTTTTTATACTGATTTAAAATTTACTCTTTTTGTATACTTTGTCTGCTCTAAGCAATAATATTCATTAAATCACAAGTTTGATATGCCACTTTTCTAATTCACAATCAACTAATAAAATAACTATTACCAGGCATGGTGGCCTGTCATCCCAGCATTCTGCAGGCTAAGGCAGAAAGATCACCACAAGCTCAAGGTCAGCCTGAATTATACAGTAAGACCCTGTCTCAAAAAAAAAAAAAAAAAACCTAATAAAACAAGCAAAGAAACAAAAAACCCTATGTGTATAGTATTTCCATGGTCATACCATGCAAACTCATCTCCTACAATATCAGTGATATTACCACACTTTGGGTAATCTAATTCTGAGTGACAGCTTATGATACAAATCAAAAATAAACAACTGTTCTCAACACCGAACATGAGAGGCTTACTATTCGGATTTGTAGTAATGAACCAAACATGTTTGGTCCCATCACCAATTTAAACAGACACAAACTTGGAAGCCTAGGTTTTCAGGTTTTGCACAAGAAATATATGAGACAATTATTCCTTTTCCTCAGATATTATGATTGGCTAAGATGGGAAAAGGGCCAAGAAACTGCATTTTTAAAGACAGCCCAGGAAGCACTGGTGCAGCAAGATACATTTTTAAAAACGGTTGACAGGAAGCACAACACTTCAAATTACTCCGGCTTTTTAATAGGCTGATCTGGGTTCAAACCTCAAGTTTACCTGTCTAATCTTAAGCAATTATCTTAAGAACCTCAGTTTCCTCATCTGATAGTGATTACAGCAATAACTATTTCGTTGGGTGATTTTAAGGGTTAAGTGGATGACATGTCAAAAAGTAAGCCTCGGGACTGGGGATTTAGCTCAGCGGCATAAGCACCTGCCTTGCAAGCTGGCAGTCGTGAGTTCGGTCCCTGGTACCAATAAAAACGAAAAAGACAAAAAAAAAAAAAAAAAAAAAAGCCTCAGCCGAGCATGGTGGCTCACGTCTGTAATCCCAGCACTCGGGAGGCTGAGGCAGGAGGATCATTGTGAGTTCAAAACCAGCCTGGGCTACAAAATGAGCTCAAGGCCCGCCCAAACTGCATAGCGAGACCCCGTCTCAAAAACAAGACAAAAAAAAAAAAAAAAAAGTAAGCCTCATATGTGCTAGAGAATTAATGATTATGATAAGGATATACAACCACTCTCAGCAACCAACAATTCACAAAACAACCAGAATTTCAAGATGCGAGTGATATGTTCTGTATTCATATCTGTTCCCATTTAATTTCCAATTTAAGCTTAACTTATAATAATATAGCATCCAAACTAAAAGTGTACTTCAGATAAGACATTTACATAACGAATAGTTTCAAACATTAACAACTAATGTCTGCACCTCAGATCATCAAGGGAATGTATCTAGACCTTGTGGGCCAAAGTCACCCAATGACTAAAATGCCGGGAGGGGTCTTGGAGGCTCAGCTTTTAGAATTTTTTATAAGGAGCATGTGCAACTATTCTTGTGTTTAGAAGTATTGATTTTGTCTGTCTATCTACCATCCATGTATCCATTTATTTAGTTTTGAACCCCAGGCCTCACACATGCTAAGCAATTGCTCTACGTAACTGAAGAAAATGTAGAGCTACATACTTAGCCTTTTTAGAAATTTTATTTTGAGACACATTCTCACTAAGTTGTTCAGACTGACCTGAAACCTGTAATCCTCTTGCCTCAGCCTCTGGCGTAGGTGGGATTACAGACTTATGCCACTATATTTGGCATGCTTTTATTATTTAAAAAACCCCTCTCTTTGAAGAAAGCATAATAGCTTACAAATTATGAACTGAATGCAACTTTGCACATTTGGCTACAGAGAAAATATAACGAAGACAGTTATAAAACCTGCCCTCCTATAATAATTCTTCAAAGGCTTTAGCTACTACCAATGTAGGGACTTCAATTTTAAGTTCCAAAATATAGAAAAGCCTTATTTTTTTCTGAATACCATCTGCCAAACCATTCTGTCAAGAGCTAATTCTGCTAAACGCAATTTGTAAATGGACTACAACTGATAGAACCTGGTTGCCCCAAGTTCAAGTACAGATTTGGTCTGCTCTGTCAATATAAAGGTTAGAAGGCTAGGCACACGGTCAAGGTCCAGTCTCCTGCAGAAGCCACACGACACTCACAGCTATCCAACCACAACACAGACATCAGGGTTCCCTCACACACGTCTATGGAGAAGATCACCCCAAGGGCTGAGAGCTATCTTCTAATCCTTTTAGGATTAGAAGGGTCCGAGCCTTCCCTTCAGCGGGCAGTTTCTCAGCTAAGTGGGAGCAATGGGGTAACTGGGACAAGTGGCCAGCCACCCAGGCATCCGTGATGCAGTGATTTCTTCTCCCAGCTGGAGGTAGTGCATTTGCCAGGGCAGGGTGTGAAGACCAGGAACCCCAGCTGCTCCTCTGAGGGTACTGGGAAACCAGGCAAAAGGGGACACTCTTCTAGTGGGCAGAGAAACCTGTTCCCACTTGTCCACAGCTATGCAGCCTGTGGCAGGCATAATCGAGAGCATCTGCTGGCTTGAGAAGCTCCCCAGACAAAGCCCAAAGGCACACACAGTCTCTCAGCCTCTTGAGTCACTTTCTGTGCTTGCTCCTTTATGCACTGAGGAGGAACTGAGATTAAAACCCTTCCATAAGGAGTAGCTCTGGAGAATTAATTAGGACCTTCACTGCAGTTCTTAAGCTATTTGTGAGATTTAACATCTGCCAAGGACCATGATTCTGGGAAACTGTTAACTGACAGTAGTCCAGGATAGCAAAAGTGTTCCACCCATGCTTGTACAACTCAGTCGTCTTGTCCTAGCAGACAGAAATACCTATGAGAAACTAGAACCTCTATTCAAGCAAACACCATAACTGAAATGTAAATGTGCCTTCAGTTAGTGTACCTGTAATAGTCTATGAAAAACAAAACAGTCAGTCTTCAGTAGGAACAAGGATGGAGCAAGGGACTGTTTGCTTGTTTACTGACTGAATCAACAAGGAACTAATGCGTACCTATACTCCAGGACTATGCTGGGGAGCCCGTGGTGAGTGAAAGCGCCCCAGTCTCTGCCAGGGGGGGCATGTCATTCTTAACATCACTGTTTCTGTCTTTTGCTGAGACAGGGTTTCACTATGCAGTTCAGGCTGGCCTTGAACTCGCAGTAACCCTTCTGCCTCAGCCTCCCAAGTACTGGGATTACAGGTGTGAACAACCATGCTCAGCCACTCTTAATTTTAAAATAAGCAACACTAAAATTTTTTAAATAGATGAGATTTTTCACTCCAGTAAAGATTAAAGAAGAAGGCTATCTATACAACATTCTTAAATTCTGCAAGTGTTTCTACATTCTACTATCACATGATAATGCTGAATATTCACAGGTAATGGCTAAACAGGAAAACAAATTGTGAAGTTAGAGATTTTTTCCTGAAATACAGAATATTAAAAAAGGAAATATACTGATTCTTTTCTTTCTTTTTTTTTTTTTTTTTTTGAGACAGGGTAACAGCATGTTGCTCAGGCTGGCATTGAACTCGAGATCTTCCTGCCTTATCCCTTGAGTAGCTGGGATTACAGGCAGGTGACATTCCATTCAGCTATGCATTTCTTATAATACAATGGAACCTGAATTTTAACAAGTGATAATCATATAAAGACAGGATTTCATTTTTCCTTTTCATTACAAAACTATGGCCACATATAATAGATACTGGTAAAATCTCTCTTCTAAATTTCAGATCAAATGATTTTTCTTTTCCAACCAAATAGCAGTTAAACATCAATGGGCCAAAGGCTCAACTGAATTAAAATTGCAAAGCTTCTTGGCTCCTTAATATATTGAATACTCAAAGTCACTTACCTTATAATCTCTGGACACATTCTCTGATGTCACTGAACCTGAAATCTGACTAGAAATTGTAGCAGCTATAAGCTGTTTACACCATTCAACATGTGACCCTGTAGGACTAAAAGAAATAGTGTGATTACCAAATTTTTTAAAACGTAGACTCCTGGTAAGAAAAATGAGACTGAATTGGAATATACACATTTGATTAAATGAGTGAACTTCTATTAAACTATATGGTTACCTTTACATTTACTATAAAAACAGAAATTTTGACTGAAAACTAGGAAGATTAGATTCCTGGTTAATTTTTCTTTTTTGGTACTGGTAATCGAACTCAGGACCTTGTGCTTGCCAGGTGCATACTGTGCCACTGAGCCATATCCCTGGCCCCTCCTGGTTAATTTTAAATGAACACATTTTTTTACAAAAAAGTTTAAAGATTCTAGATGTTGGTTAAGCATACTAGTTCTAATATTTAATAGAATTTTATTCCATTACAATTATATGAAAGATTCTTAACAGAAAATTCATTCTAAAGTGAAACGTTTATCTTATAGCATGTTTTCCAAACATTCAATCAATTTCAGGCTTGCATCTGAAATCTAGAAAATAGTGTACTTTTGAGTGAACCTGAACTCTTAATGGAGCAGAACTCACTGTGATTTCATGAAGTAGAGAGTATGAAAATGGCATTTTCTGTATAGTAAGAATGTAACCTCCATTTCAGCAAGTGAAAGGTAACCATGGTGTGACAAGAAGACAAATCGGGGACTGGCCAACACGCTTCTGAGGGGAGAAACGGAGGCACAGTGGTGATGTGGCACCACAGTCCCGGGATCACTGAGCTAAGGCCAGCCCACTGTGAAGCTGTGACCTGCCTTCTATGAAATCTCAGCAGCGCAGAGATGGCACCTTCCATTTTGCAGTACCCGGAGGCAGCGCAAGCGTTCCCACACGGAGCCTTGCCTGGCCTCAGCCACCCCTGGACAGCAAGCAAACCCTGCCTCGGTTTTGTCCAAGGCCACTGGCTGCTGAGCGCTTGGGCTGCGCTCACCTCTCCTAAAGGACCACAGAAGAGATCTAGACAATGAGAGAACCAAAAGTGCCTTCCCTCAGATTTGCCACAACACTGAGGAGAGCACGCAGGGAGGGGGAAACACTTAGGTAAAACAGGCTTCTGATCTTTTCAGACTGCACCACTAGTTCAACCTACACTGGTACCTGAAGGAGAGAAACACCTGAAACCTCCAGCCAATCCGTGGAATAACCTCACCTGTAAAATAAAGGAAAGTGAGCTTCTGTACAAGTGATCTAAACTGCTCTCTGAGGAAGACAGCCCCTGGCCATCTGTGTGGCTGAAAACATAACTAGAAACCCTCCCGGAATGGGCAGAGGATGCTGCGACAATTGCTAAGCACTGTTTCCAACCAAGAGGGAGGCGGGGAAAGGGGAGGGTTTTCCTTAGACTCCGCCTTTGGTACCTGGCTGCCCAAGTTTATTTCCTGCTTTTCTTGCCATGCCTTTTGCTCTGTCTGCGGCCATCCCTGATTGTTAGTACAGCAAAGTAACTGTTGGAACCCAGCTGCTGACTGAGAGAGAGCTGTTGCTACCATCCAGCCGGCCTCCCTCCGTTCCCATCAGGACACTTCTCTCCCCTGGGGAACTGCACCTCCGCGGGCCTGCTCTGGTGGGATTCTACTGGCTGACTCTTCCTCCTCCCACTCCCACTTGGAGGTGACTTTCCCAGGCTGGGAGATCCCAGATCTCCTCTTAGGCCTGAGCTGTGGGTACCTCCCAGAGTAACTGCGGCCAATCTCCTGTTCCCCCACCCCGGAAGACCTATAGAGAGAAAACTCAGGGCAGGAGATGGCAAGTCCTGACAAGGTTGTGGGAACCCAGGCCCCAGCAGTGCCCACCGCCACCTCTCCCGTCTGGGCTGTTACAGGAAGCAAGGCATCTCTGTGGCTTCGGCTCAAGTGAGTTGTGCTTTTCGTCACTGCCTGCAACCAGAGGTGTCCTGGCCAGTGCTGGCACACAGGGTGGTGCCTGGACTGGTGTTCTGCTTTGTCACTAGCTACACGCTCTCACAGGACCACAGGGTGGCAGAGCACTGGGAAGTGGGGTGAGGGCCCCCATACTGGAAGCACGCCAAGACAAGCCACACGTGCAGAGCCAGGCCCACTGCAAAGCAAAGGGTGTAGAGGAGCTAGAGGAAAAGCCACAACCGCGACAGAGACCACGTGCCTGCATTGTCCCCCTCCTCTTCAGCCTGTGTGTGTGCCCTCTGCACTCCTGGAATCACCAACCACCTGCAGGCCAGAGGCACCCAGCTCTGCTTCTCTGAGCTGGGCTCTCCCGACCCTAGGCCTACAGCCCTCACAGCTGAATGCTAACAGGCTGTGCCCTCCTCCCTGTCTCCCCTCACCCCCCCCCCGCCCCCCAGGGTTGGGTTTCCAGCCTTTGACAGCCTCTTGCTTGGGACATACACAGCAGCTTACAAGTCATGTGCCACAGCTGAGAGAGCGAGCCTATTTCCTGACTGCTCTGCTTAGAGACTTGATCCCCTTGGCCACACCCTTTCCCAGTTAAGTGCCTGGGAAAGCTCCTGGATTCTTCTCTCACAGCAGCGACCAGTCTTCAGCAAACCCTGCTGGTCTTCTTCAAACTGTCTAGAATCTGACCGCATATCCTCCTTCTACTCCATTGCACTAGGCTAGGCCACCCTTCTCTCACCTGGCCCCCTACAGCAGCCCTCACTGCCTACGCAGCGACACTACCACGAGAGCCCTTGAAGTCTATACCAGCTCGTGTCCCTCCCTGCTCCGAAGTCCTCGAAGGCTCCCTGCAGCCTCAAGCTCCACACCGCCTCCTGACTCCACCCCTTACTTCTCTTCTTCGCACCCTCCTCATACTGACACTCAGGCTCCTTCCTGATCCTTGGACACTTCCCACCCTAGGGCCTTTGCTCAAGCCTCTGCCTGGAATGCTACTGCTCCAGGTATCTAGCTGCATTCCTGGATCCCTCACCTCCTTCGGGGCATTCCTCAACTGTCACCTTTCTTGGGCTTTCTGGTCATCCTACCTACACCTGCAACTGCTGCCCGCCTGAGGTGCATACGCCCAGGGCTTCTCATCCACTTCCCACCTCACCTGGTTCTTCCCCAGCACTTATCATCTACTAGACAGCACATTTCACTTGTTCTCTGTCTTCTACCGTGAAACACACACTTGCCGAGAGCAGATATCTGTGCCTGTTGCCTCTTGTGCTCTCAAGCTTAATGCCATGCCTGCCACAGAGTGGGCACTCACATCTGCAGAACAAATGCCCTCCAATAGCCCACTGACCACACTCTCCAGCTCTGGTGCATCTGCCACTCCTGCACAGCAATGGTTCTACAAAGTCACCCACCTGAACGCCTTCAGTGGATCAGAGCTAGGGCAACCGCATCCTTTCTCATTTGAACCAGGACAACACCAAGCACTGAAGGATGATGTGGGTACTCACAACACTGACCCTCCCTACTCCTACTCGCCTAACTTCTACTCATTTTTCACCGTTCAGTTCAAATGTCAAGCTGCTTGTCGAGACCTTCGCTCCCTGTACTACTCAAACTCCCGCCTCCACAGAATAAATCAAGTACCCTGCCTCCACATACCCACAACATGGTGATCGCTACTGCTATAGAGCCTTTAAAGCTACTTGTCTTTGCGGTAGCACATGCATATAATTAATCCCAGCACTCAGGAGGCTGAGGCAGGAGGTTTGTGGCAAGTTCAAGACCAGCCTGGGCTACAAAGTGAGCTCAAGGCCAGCCTGAACCTCACATAGTGAGATCTTGTCTCAAAAAGACAAACAAACAAACAAAACCCCCCCAAAACTACTAGTCCTTGCCTCTCCTCTGGACCTCTTGAATGAATGAGTAGCCTTAAGAGTGGGGCCGCTGGTAGTTTTTAAAAAGCTGAAGGAAACCAGAATATGAGGCACATCTTGGAGTGACATAGTCAGCATTTTCCCAGCTCCTTAGATGATTCAGCCACATACCCCATCCTGAGTAGACTGTATTCACCCCTAGCCTAGCACTTAACATGATCGACTTCAGTCGTTGGCTTATTCGCATCCACCGCAAAATGGTAAGCAGCGCACAAAAGCCATCTTGTGTTCCCTGATTTGCCAAGGCCTCAGACACTGCTGAGTATCTGCAGATGAGTGAAGTCCTCACCGTCCCCAGTGCTGGCCTCCCGGGAGGGGAACATACTAAAACACACTTAATTACCCTGGGCTGGAAAGGCCAGGCAGTGTTTCTTGTTGTTCCTCTGCCTTCGTAAACTTGGAAAAACTTCTGCACCAGTAGTAGTATGACTAAGATAGGCAGGAACGAGCATCCGAAACCCCGAGCTCCATCTCAACAGTGTCTGTTGCCTAAGCCCATCCACCTTTGGGGAAGTGGCCAGGATGTGGGGACAGCTTAAGCCACCCCTTGTCCTCAGCGGGGTGCACCTTCCTGGTTAAGACAGCAGTTGTACGCCTGACTTCTTTAGTTCTGCCAACTGCCTCATAAGCTGTAGGCTCAGGTGTGCAAGGATACAACGAAGCGTCCCTTCAGAGTGAAGAACTGCAAGTCCAGGATTCTGTCCTCTTGCCTCCAGGGCGGTTTCAAAGTTTTTCATTCTGATTTTTTTTAATACGGGCATCCGGCCGCGATCCGCGCCGGCTCCCACCCCGCCCCCCCACCCGCCGAAGCAGCCTCAGCGGGACGCGGGTCTGGGGACCACGAGAGGCCAGGGTGCGCCGCACGGGACGGGACGGCACGGGACGAGGAGCCGCCCCCGGAGCGGGAGGCGGCGGCGCCGACGCGCTGTGACAGCTGGCGCGAGGCGGAAGGGAGCCAGGTGCCAGCCAGGTCCCAGGGCGTCGGCGGCGTCGGCTGGGGACCTGGGTGTCGGGGGCGGGGCGGGGAACGTGGGTGGCGGCGTGCGGGGAGGGGCGGCCGAGCCTCGCGCGAGGTCCCCGCTTACCTGTCCAGGGTCTCCACGCTGGGCTGCCGGGAGCCGGCGGCGGCGCTGCCCGCGGCCCGAGGAGGCCTCCGGCCGCCCGCCGGCCCCAGGCCCGGACCCCCGACGCCCTCGCAGCCCGCCGCCGCGGCCGCCCCCGGCCGCTCCATGGCGCGAAGACCCGACCGAGCGCTGCCGCTGCCGTTGGGGAGCCGCCGCCCGGAGGGGAGCGGCGGCCAGGACGCTTCCGCCGCGCTCCTCCGCCGCCCGTCGCGCGCCTCAAGCGGCCGCCGCCATTAGCTGTCACCTGGCGGCCCCGCGTTACCCACAAGGCCGCGCGCGGGGGGAGGGGGTGGGGTTGGGGGCGGGAAGGGCGGTGCGCGGGGCGGGCGCCTGGGTCTCCGCTCCTAGGCCCCGCCCAGGCCCCACCTGGCACCGCCCCAGCAGCCTGAGATTTTAGGGGCTAGGTGGCCTGGATGGAGCGACTTGGCTCCTGCGGAGGCCCTGGGCATTGGTGCTTCCAAGGGACTATGCGTGATGTGCTCGGCACATTGAAAGGAGGTTGACTATAGTGACACAAGGTTTTAAACAAAATGTTTTAAAGGTTGGGGACATGTGGAATTAAAAACTGTTTTCCCCCTTGATTCACAGGAAAGTTTTCAGGTGGGACCAGCCTGGACTCGGGGCAGCCCTGGTCTTGACGTCCTGAAGCAAGAGCGGTTCTGTGCATTTCAGCAGTTCTTGCTCACCAGGTTCTTCCCTCTGTATCCGCCCCCCCCCCACACACACACAAAGCCACCTCCCTGCCATCTGGAGGGCCACCCAGTGTTCCAGTGCCGCCCTCAGAGCTTCCACCCTTGGTTCCTGTTAAGAATAACATCTAACTGTTGATTAAAATTCGTCACTAGGAGACATTTAGCTAATATATCTTGATAAAAAATTTTTGAATTTAGGACATTTGCTCTGTTACCTAGATTTATTATCCTGATAATTTTGCTTGCATTCAAAGATCCAGTGGCTTCTCCCCTCTCAGCTCCCTGCCCCCCCCCCATTGGTGGGGGCATTAGGTAATGAGAATCTTGAGCCCCTTTGCTCTGGGTGTGGGCAAGACACCTCTGACCTAGGTTTGGCTAAGGATGTAGGTAGATCTTGCAGGGATTAACACACACCCATTCCGGACTCACCCTGTTCTACTCGCTTAACTGCAAACTGAACCTTGAGGATGTGATCCTGTAGTATAGACAGCTAAGTTAGGTAAAAATATTCTAGGCAGTCAACCAGCCTGACTCAAGGGAGTCTGCCCAGAGGATGACAGTGCATTACAACTGTAGCTAGCAACATATCTGTTGAAGGCCAGACCTCAAGAGAAAGACAAAATGACCAGGCCTACATGCCCCCTACAAGCAATAATATACTTGATATACTATACTATACTATACTATAATTGATATAATTGATATCCACCTGGTCCAATAAAGTCTAGATAGACATCAGTCACCCAGGTGTACCAAGTGAGTGACCAGGATCTCCTGACTCATCCCTTCCAAAAAGGGTCCTTGTTCTTTCTAGTGCATTTGCTACATGACTTGCTTCCCCATTGGATCAGTGGCTATACTGATGATCCTATTGTTTGATCATAGTTTTGCCACACCTTGGGATTTTGCTCTATCAAACTTCCCCTGGAAAGTGGGCTGCTTGCCAACCCACTTTCAGGTCTCTCTCAGGAGCTGTCTCCCCCTCAATAAAACTTCCTCCTCTTGACCTCCATTGTTCCTTGAATTCATTTTTGTATTGCAGAGAACGCGGATGCATTCCTACATCCAGGAAGTAAAGAGTTACATTTATTTCTCCTATATCATTTAGAGGTCCTGTATCACCTGAAGCCCCAAGAAGTGTAAGCCTCGATAGAGAGGGACTGAGAGTAAAGAAGGGAAATCTTCAGACACACTGGAAAACTTCCTCCTGCAAGTGTTCAGTTTTCCAAAATTATTAACTCAAATGTCTAACCCACTCTTAGGGACTAAGCATTTGTGTGTCCCTCAAGATTCCTTTGCTGAAGCCCAAACTCCCGCTGTAATGGGCTGTGGAGAAGGTAACTTTTGGAGGCGATTAGGGCATGAAGTCAGGGTCCCCCTCTGAGGGGATTAATGCCATTATTATTGGAGACACAAGACAGCTCATCTGTGTTCCCAATTTGCATGCACCAAGAAACCCATGCTAGGGGCTGGGAGTGCGGCCCAGGAGTAGAGGGTGGGCTCGGCAGGCTTCAAGTCCTGGGTTCCACAGGAAGAGCTTGCTCTCATGAGACTAAAGTCTGCCAGAACCTTCATCTTGGACTATCCAGCTCCATCACTGTGGTCAAGAAACACGAGGCATTTAAGCCCACTAGAGGATGGCAGCCTGCTTTGGTCACTATTTTGTTGCTTGGGCACAGTACCCGACACCTTGCAACTTCACGGAGTAGAGGTTTCCAGCCTGGCCTGGGCAACACAGTAAATCAGCAAAGACCCCGCCTCAAAAGTAAACATAAAAAGAGGTGGGGAGGGAGCTTAGTGCAAAGATACTGGTTTCAATTTCCAGTACAAACAGTCAAACAAACAAAACCAAAAACCGAAAAACTGGAAGTGCTCATTACTCTGAATTATAATACTACACTTCATGAATACTTACAAATATTATATGTCAGTTTAAATCTTGAAAAGTAGAAACACATAATAATTTGAGCAGAGAAAGTTTATTCTGAAGAATTAATAGTATGGAGCTAGAATAGGAAGCGTTAGACTAGTTCTAGCTTTTTAATTTTTTTTTCCTCTTGAAACAGTGTCTCACTGTGTTGTCCAGACTGGCCTTGCACTCACGGTGATCCTCTTGCCTCAGCCTCCAGAGTGCTGGGATTACAGGTGTGTGCCATCACGCCCAGTTGAGTTTGACTAGTCAAAAGCAACCCCCCCAAAACAAAACAAAACAAAACAAAAAACCTGTAAAAAATACAGCAGCCATAGTCCGCAAAGGAAATATTAGTAATCTAGAAACAGTCTGTTCCCCCCTCAAGGCCGGGGCTGGAATGCTGTTTCTCACCTGAAGGTGGAGGATCACACAGGTACTGTGCTGGTGAGGTGACTGGAAATCTGCCTTCTGGGTTCAAAAAGAGCCATCGCAGGGAACTCTAGTCAAATTGATCTTAACCTCGACTCCATTAGAAGCTGTGGAAAGAGACACTCCATGTAGACATGCAGAGCTGGAGAAAGCAGCTTCTGCAGAGGATGCGAGCTAAAGAAAGAAGCAGGCTTCCTCCTGCAGTGTTTCAGTGGCTTTTGCTATTGTTCTGGTCTGGCAATGCAGCAGCTCTCGGGATGACTGGTACACTCCCAGGACAGACAGAACAGTGAAGGACCATCGGGCTTTGGGCACAGAGGCAATTGCAGTGATACAGGGGGTAGGGTGGGTGTGGCAAAGCTGACTGGGAATATGAGCCAGACTTGTCAATTATGAGATCCCAGGGTACTGGGGAGGCTGAGGCAGGAAGGATCATTGTGAGTTGGTGACCAGACTGGGTTATTCAAAGTGAGCTCAAGGTCAGCCTGAATGGCATAGGAAGACCCTCTCTCAGACACACACACACACACACACACACACACACACACTCACAAATAACAGGGCGTGGGCAGGACCTCGTGTAGAATTTTCCTGTGCTCCCACTGGATACGGAAGGCATAAAAGAAGGCGGGCACCACAGGAAGCCTGCTACTGTCACTTTCCTCCCTAGCCTGTGCTGCATTTCTCAGAGGCAGTGCGGGCTGTTATTTTTTGCTTTTATCTTCTTTTCCTCTTGTTCTGCCCAAGTTTGCTCCACAGAGCTGGTTTCTCCCATACCCATTCACCCTACAATTTCCAAATAAATTTTTGGCACAGTTTTGGCTTGTGTCTTCCAGTTTTTTGTTCTTAAGGAACTACCTGATCACCCCTGGATGTCTGGCTTTTGGTTCCGGGTGAGGAGATAGAGGAGCAGTGGCCCAGGGCGTGAGAGCCCAACACAGGAGATAGCACAAAAGAAAGTGCTTCGGAGTGTGGCTCTGGGGAAAGCAAGCGGCACTGTGCAGGAGACAGTACGGGAGGTGGCCAGCATCCTCTGCAGAGGCAGTTTCTTCACGGTTTCAGTTCCCATCCCACCCGGTGCCCGAATTCCTTCTGGAAGATCTTACCAGGCACTGCTGCTGCAGATGCAGAAGCAGAGGAAGAAACGTATGCACTTGAACCATACCTCTTATTTTTCTTTCTTTCCTTTTTTTTGTCTTTTTGAGACAGGGTCTCTCTATGCAGTTCAGGCTGGCCTTGAGCTCACTTTGTAGTCCAAGTTGGTCTCAAACTCGCAGTGATGCTCCTGCCTCAGCCTCCTGTTTGCTGGGATTACAGGCGTGCGCCACCACACCTGTCTGAGGCATACTTCTGTCCAAAATCTCACTCAGTACAAAACTTTCCAAAAGGAGCAGACTCTGTGATCAATGATTCTTTTAATGACATCTACTTAAAAATGGGGTTTGACCAATCAGTAGGTATCGTCTAAAACACTCATTTCTAAACACTTGGTGCTGGACTGCAAGGGATGGTCAGTATATTCGGTGAATATTCCAATTTTAAAAATTTATTACCCTGAGAGACACGCTGCTCAGTCCCACTCACCAGCTTCCCTCTTGCTTTGAGTCCTCTTACCTGCATCATCCTCATCACCTTCTGAAGCAGTTCCCAAAGTCCTCTTTCATGGCTTTTTGTGGCTGCCTCCATGTCCTGAATCAGCTCAAAACGTTCGTGGCAACTTCTGTCCCATAAAATACGACAGTGTGTTCTCATCCCACTTATTCACCGAATCTGGCACCCATATGACTTCAGGCTCTTTCCAAAATCAGACGACCACGGCAGGCAAACGTTTTGAATGAATGAATTCAGGCAGCCAGCACAGCACAACTAAAGCCACCTGGGAAAGAGCCCTTCCCGAGCTGCTTCAGAAAGCGGCAAGCTCAAGGATGATGTGTTCCAAGGGAGGGGGAGGCTTTAGAAGGGGCTCACGGCAATGTCTTTTCCTGAAATTTTTTTTCAAATATAAACATTCCCTGGAGTTTTCAATGGCACCTCCTTCATGCATAAAATCACATGGGGTGCCTTTTAAAAATTATTAGCCCCCCCCCCTTTTTTTTTTAAAAAAAGCACTTTTAAGTGTCAGAAAAATGGAGTATAGAGTACAAAGAGTTCCTACACACTCTCTGACAGAATCCCCCACTTTCCTTACCATAGACATCTTGCATTAGTATGGTAGGTAGGTTAA